CTATATTTTCCTCATTTTACAACATTTCGCAACGAAACTTTGGAATATTACTAATTTTGTGATGCTCTTTCAAGCTGTGATGAAATATTTGTCTAGACTTGCCTAGATCAAAATTTTGGTTATAAGGGGAAAGGTCTATTAAAAGCAACGACAACCTTGTAAATTTTTTTTTTAGTTGATTAGCTACCGTGTTAAAATATGTTTTAATAAATAAATAAATATGAAAGATTTTGTAGATGAAAGTTTCGAGTATAAATTTTTATACATTTCTTAGACCTAACCAGGAACAGTTGTGAAAATGCAACTATAGGTCCCTGGCAGGAATCGAATCTGCGGCCCTGCGATTCCGGTGCAGCGCTCTAACCAACTCACGAGGCCCCGTTTACATGAGATCAGGACGAAGTCAAACCGGAATGAATGAATTGAAATGGTCAACATGTTTACATGACCGGCACCGGTACGAGGATCGCAAAATTTTCAATTTATTCCCTTTGCCAGACTATTTTCTTTTTTAGATGGCTTTTGTTAGCATGTGTTGTTCCAATGTCAAGGTTACAGCCGAGACCGGTCCCAAATGAATTTGTGTTTACATTCATCCCGGTCTGAAGTCAGCCAGCTTGGTCCAGCACGCGTTCCGACTTGAGACCGAGTTAAGCCTGGTTCACATATGCCTGCGACTGTATCATTATGCCTCTACTTGCCGCCAAAATACCGGCAAAGTTGAACTCAAGTCAACTTTGCCGGCCTACCGCAGCTACCGCCGATGTAACTGAGGCACTGGAAGCAATCGGCGAACAAATGTTCACATAATTTACGTTTTAAAGCTACCATCGGCATCGTCGCCGGTACGCCGCAGGCATATATGTGAACCAGGCTTTATTTTCGTCCCGGTCTCTTGTAAACATCTACAGTTAGAAATAATACTGTGACCGAAACGAAATGGTCCCGGTTTGACTTCGTTCCTGTCTCATGTAAACGGGGCCTGAGCTACAGAGTCCAGTTGTCGAGCTCTACTGACCGCAGATTCCTGTCAGACGGACTATATAGTTGCATTTTTCACAACAGTCTGCTCCCGGTTAGGTCTATGGGGCTGATTACATGATGCCGGGCTGGCCCGGTTAACCGGGCTGACTCGTTTGTTTAGGACCTTACTGTGGTTTTAAAACTTGCGTAAAATAAATTTGCGATAAATAATTGGTTTAGTATAGATGCAAAATCATCCTAAACCTGACTCAAAACTCATTTTGCGGCCCAAGGAAGATTTTCGTTAGGTTCGCCCGGTTAACCGGGCTGGCCCGGATAAAATTTGCACTTCGGAAATTTGACATCTACAAAATCCTTCACTAAACCACATACCCACCTTTTGACACGCAGTGTCCCCATAAGGAAACAAATAAAACGGTTTCTCGGTTGGCAAAACAATTTCAGATTCAGCTTTGCCAGTTGTGCTGCAGCAGAACAATATCTTTGTTTTATCCGTGTACTCGCCCTCTGGCAGGTCGCCATTAAAGTGGTTTTTGTTGTCTATATTCTCGTCATCCCAGTAAACAAAACCTGCCTGTAGACCGCCGGGACAACCAGCACCTTTCTTATATATGCAGTATTTACCTTGAGGCCAGCTAAAATAATTAATAGAGAATAATGTCAATACAGTGCGGTTTCAGCGTAACGTTGAAACTCGACTTCGCCACGGGCAACAACGACGGTCTCGGGGCAGTGGCGTAGCCAGTCCGACGATTCAGTCCCGCTATGCAAATATTGCCATTTTTATAAACTATCAACACAATCGATTTCTAAAGAAATGAATAATGATGATGAGTGGAAATGTGCATATCGGGACCAAATCGTCATGCTGGCTACGCCATTGTCTCGGGGCCACAAAGCACGCTGTTTCCCTCGGTCTCAGTAAATAAGGGATAATTATTTTATGTAATAGACCCATTGCACTAACGTCACAAGTCCTTGGAGTGTCCTCCAGATGCTCCCTAACAATATCTGTTCGGGTACAGCAACCACATACAGCGCAAAAATTAACCATTTTAATACAAAATTATTATAAAGTTTTACAAAATTTTCTTTGTTTACAAAAGTTATATTATGCATAGATGGCTAATTTGTCCTCCAGATGCATCGTCACTGGCGCTGTGACGTCATGTGCAATGGGTCTATAATTATAAATAGTTCCCAAGTATCTCTTTACCTTTTTAATCCGACATCTTTTGTTTTCATACAGAACTCCCACGTGATTCCATCTTCAGTGACGTCACCAGCAAGATGGTACGCATCAGAGTTATGGTTTTCAGTCCCATCGTCTTCGGTGTCGTAGAACCTCGTGCCAGTCTTCCAGAGAAAACCCGAGGACTCTGGACAACCTGATTTCGGCTTTGGCAATCCATACGTTCCAGAGGGCCATAAAACTGTAAGTAAAATAATTATACCTTAAACGTTATGTACAATATCACAACCTCGTACACAGGGTTCTCTTTGTGTACGATATCACTGGAAAAAATTTTGAAAATCCATAGAAATAGAGATTACTTCATGGTTGATGAGCGCGTACGATTTTTATGCACGAGTTGCGAAAAATTCCTATAAACGAACGAGTGAGCGCAGCGAACGAGTGAGTTAATAGGAATTTTTCGCAACGAGTGCATAATAAAAATCGTACAAGCGAATCAACCATGAAGTAATTTGTTTATTATATGAGTTATTATATTTTAGAGTGAAATTTAAGTGCTGAACGATAGACACAATTCAAACCAAACGTTTCAAACATATATAATATGCATCAAAAAGTACAACAATAGCTACAACAAATGAACTATTTCGCTTCAAAATTCTTGTATTATTATTCTCCTGTTGTTCAATGAATTCGCTTACGGATGGTGTCTCTGCAAAGCGTGAAGCCATTTCAAATCAAAAGTCGAATGGACATCTAAAAAAACTGATTGTTGTTTTCTTGTACGCCAGTGGCGTGGCGGGAAAAGTAAATACGAAATTTTTCACTAGTGACAAATTCCGTACGTCCAATGAGAAGGCTAATACGACGTTCTTCACTAGTGGCGAATGTCGTATGTCCAATGAGATCCTCAGAAATTTTAGGCATATGGTTTTTATTCGACAACTTTATCGCGTATAAAATTCAATACTCATATAATAAAGTATCGATATTGGATGGATATACTATGGATTTAGTGGTGTAATTGCAAATCTCATAGTATGGATTCACATTTTTTCCCCAGTGATACAGGCAGTAGGGAGCTTTAGCAAGCGACTACAAGTACGAGATTGACGAATCTCCTACACGCTGCTAAAGCTATCTAGTATGAAGCCAAGTACAGACGAAGTCTTATTTGCTCGTGTGTACGCTCGTGTGTAACTCCAAAGCTATAGTATTGCCAGATTTTGGACAAGGAAGATTTGTGTCTTCAATCCGTCCTGAATGTGTAGCTCAGTTGGTAGAGCGTCGATCTAGTAAGTCCAAAGTCGTGGGTTCGAAACCCTGCTTGCGCGCGCGCCTAATAATTTATATAATAATTTATTATATTCTAAAACCCCAATCGCTGGCTCGGCAAAATCTTAGCCATACATGAAGTTACGGTTGTTGCGCAACATATTATACCTTCTCTGCTTATATCGGCTCTGCTTGATACAGTAATCTCCCCGACGGTGGACTGGGACGTAGTCTGAAGTTCATCCGGGTCTTCGTCACTCAATTTTTCTTCCGATTCTACTTCGATCCCAGTCCCAATATCTGTATCGCTCGATTTGGAATCTCCAGAGCTTGTCGAAACCGCGCGATCGTTATCAGAGGGTTTGGAATCGACTGAAGACAAGTCCGTCACGGTGACCTGGTCATTAGAGGATGAATTAGGATCATCATAAGATAATTTTGGATCGATATAATTTTCATGGGATATTTTAGTCTCGATAGGGATCTCAGAGATACTATACTCAGAGTCCCCCGATGACCTCACCACACGATCTCTAGCCTCGCTTTCGATATGTCCGAGAATTTTGATTTCACTTTCGTAGACTTGGTTCTGAGAATCTTTTTGTACAGACCGTTTGCCGCGGTGGACATGATTTGAGTTTAACTCGGCGTTTTCATTGGTTGTTAGCGACCTGTAGAAGTCAGCCTCTTCTGAATTTAGAGCTGTAAACGTAAAGATTCATTATTTAAAGTTTACTCGTATAAACGTATGTCGAATAAGAAGACATCGCTCTGGTTCAGAAGAGTGAAGGATATGCTCTTATGAGCAAACTGCGAAAAATCTGGTCAAACCAATGAATATACGCTTATACACAACGATTAATCTGGCCGATTCAGCTTTAATGGACCATTTGCATTGTAGACTAAATTTTGATATAGACAAAAATTTCATCACAGCTTGAAAGAGCATCACAAAATTAGTAATATTCCAAAGTTTCGTTGCGAAATGTTGTAAAATGCGGATAATATAGCCATGCGAAGTCTGCCGTTTTTCAGTCATTTTGTATTACGCACGGGAAATTGACAGCCCAATCGGGTGTTGGGGCATCAATTTCCCGTTTGTAATACAAAATGACTGAAAATTGCAAATTTCGCAAGGTTATATATTATCTGCATTTTACAACATTTCGCAACGAAACTTTGGAATATTCCTAATTTTGTGATGCTCTTTCAAGCTGTGATGAAATTTTTGTCTAGATCAAAATTTAGTCTATAATGCAAATGGTCCATTGAATGATATTTGAAAAATACGCTGTCCACGTCCTCTGACGACATCGTCAACTGACAACATTCGTCATTAACATTCGTCAAAACCGGCTGAAATAGGCCCATTGTGTTACCATAAGTCCAATAAAAGAATGTAGGGGGAGGAGGAAATTGTTAAATTTTCCAGTTCAATTTAAAATTTTCCACATTTGATCTGCAGAACAAAATTAATCCATTTAACACTTATACCCGTATAACGTATAGAAATAGGTGCAAAATTCCTTTTCAATAAAGTATACTCATGTAGTCTAACGGATGCATTGGGGCACTTTCCATGACCCGAATTTTTGTCTCTGTACCAATGGAAAGATCTGGTTCTTAAATATCTAGCAAAAATGGACCTCATTCTAATTTTATCTAAATTTCACGGTCAGATAGATCCGAAGCCAAAACGTTTTGTGTTCCATTCAACAATTTGACCGTTCTGACCGGTCTGGCCGTGTTAATGGAAAGCGCCCTAAGAATATATGAAATTCGTAAATTCAGCTAAATTTCTAAATTTCATATGATGTACAAAATAATTTTCCAGCCATAACTTTATTTGTACTTACCATTCGATGCTAAACTACAGCAAAATGTTATCCAAAGGGAAAGTAAAAGACCATTCAATAAGATTTTCATTGTTTGCTCATCTTTGTAAAATTGAACATCTTTGGCGCCTGAATAATAATAATAATAATAATAATAATAAAAATAGACATTTGCATTTTATAATTGATTATACACATTATCTTATCATATATAATACTAACATATATCAATACACTACATGATAGTTTCCGACTTTTATATAAACTTTCTTTTATATAATTTATAGAAAAGAATTTGCTGTAATAAAATATATTTTAGTTTTTGCAATATTTCCATAAATTAACTTCAAACGATACAAGGTATACAGGCTCTGAAAAAGCTTTCATATATATACAAAATCTATAACTATAGTATAAAGCCTTATACCCTTTGGATGAGAGATATTTGCCAGTTTTTATATTATTCATCCTTAAAAATTATTAGTTATATAATCTTTTGACTTTATATTGGCTATAAATCCTGCAATTGTCATTTTCTCTATATATCAATTTGCATGCATAAGAAATTAGTAGTATATCAGAATATGGTCAAATAGACTTTTACTCTTTGTGAAAACGTATTTGCTGGTTCTTAAATATTATATATTTCATCTTCAAACTATATTATTAAGTTTTTTACCTTGGCTAATTCCAATCCGCCATTTTCTTGATCAGTTTGTATACATACATAATTAGTTTTAGTATAAGACAATGATCTGTACCTGCTATAGTTAGCAGGTCGTTGTCGGATTATTCAAAATATCTGGCGAGATTTGTTTAGTATATATAGGCTCATGCGGAAATAGAAACTGACCGCTATAAAGTGACCCGTTCTTGTTGGATAGTTTTAGTATTATAGGAGTTGAGCAAAGGCATCATGATCCCTTGTTGATCAAGTGTTTGGACGAAATCTATATCTAAACTTACGTTTGTCTAATTTTATTTATACACTGGATAGCTCTGTATAGCTATATCAATTCTAAGCTGTTCCTCTAGAGAAATGAAGATGTGAAGCCTTCCAAAAAACGTATCTTTTGTTTAAATATATCAGTATATTTTATTTCGTATAATAAAAGCAATATATAATTGTATTCTATATTTCTTAAACTAATTATAAACTTTTAATATATATGGTTATTGTTAAAATAACCTTCAACGGATTGCCTGTACGTTTTATGCATGACATTAGCAAAATAGATAATATAATATGGCTGACTTAGTTTGCAGTTGGAGAAACACTGATAAGTGGACAGTAGGAGAGACACTGTATTCATTCTAGGGGCGTACCGAGCGGTGTGTGTGTGTGGGGGGGGGGGGGGGGGGCGGAGGATGTGCGACCCACCCCAACTTTTTAGAAAACTCGTCGGTAAAACGGAGATGATGTGGGGTAAAAAGTGACTTGTTGGTAAATTGATTGGAAATGATCGGCAAAATGTTGTTGGTCGGTAAAGCTCATCCATCTTTGTGCTCATCCATCTTTGGCCATAGTTTAGGATGCGGTCGTTGACCAAGTTGAGGAGGAGCTACAGCAACAACGCGCTATTCTGCAGTATACCCTGACAGTTTAACAATCATGTTCCTATCTCATGTTTGTCTCTTCGTTTTCATAATCAATGGCTTTTCAAATAAAAAAATGAACTTGATAAGGTAATCGCCACCCCCCAAGCTAGCGAAAAGATTCGCACCACGCAACAACCCCCGGAAAATTCATCCCTGGGTATACAATGTAGACGCTTTTAAAAATGAAACCAGTAGAAGTGTACGGTTGCCTAAGTGGCTGCTCAAGTCATAGTAAGCTATATTCTCCGCTCATATCATGATGGTAACCTATATTGTCTTCCAATTAAGCGCTCAACTGTTCAAGCACATCTCATACTACTATAAGAAGATCTCACAGATTGCCCGGTGTAAACTTGCTTTAATGGCAGTCTGGGCTAGCAAGACACTTTTGCTGTAAACGGGTATCAATGCTATAAAGCTATACATCTTATTTTTCTACGAGCTTCGTTCGCTCATCCCAAACTCTTTCGTTGTGACCGACTGCCGATTGTTTCTCGTGAATGCTCGGTTAAACTTCGGAAACTTTCGACAGCATAGCAATCTCTTGAAGCCGTCCTTGAAGCGGTTGCCCATGAACGCATAAAGGACTGGGTTCGAGGCGCTGTTGATGTACACTAGTAGGATAGCGTAGGATTGAAGGAGCAGCCAATATCTGAAATGGAGAACACGTGTGTTACTGAAGAGCATTGAAATGAATCTAACTGGAACGTTACCTCTAACAGGAAATTTGAAACCAAACTGGAAGGCCAGTCCCAGACTTTTCACGTGTGTCGACACACGTGTCTGGGGGTCAAGATTTGGCTTCAAGAAAAAGATAGGCAATTTATCTGAAGGTAGCGTTCCAGTTATATTCCGATTTCAATGCTGTAGATTTACATTAAATAAATATTGAGTTTTCAAAGCATTTCAAAACTCATTAAAAGAGATTCGGTAAGGTATGTCTTCACACCAATTACCTTGTTACAAGGTTGATGACAGTAACAGATTTGCCACAAGTTGTTCCAACAAAACTAACACAGGCTTTTAGCAAAAGTTGCTACGAGCTTGTTGTCATCAACTTGTTAACAACTGGTAATTACGTGGAGACGATATCAAACCAACCTCGTACCCAGGCTCTTTTCACTACGCGCCTCGCTGGAGGAAAGGACTCTGGTCCAGGCTGGTCACGTGTCTCATATCAAACTTGTTGGAACAACTTGTTGCGAGTCTGTTGGCCTTATCAACCTTATTACGTAAGAGTTAATTACCGAGAACGAGGTTTCTTAGCGAGATACAACCCGAGGGGCGTGTCCCGAAGAAAGCATCCCGAGGGCCGT